CTCTAGATAAGATATATTGCTTGGGAAAAGAAGATACTGTATTCGCTGTAGACGATCTGATACAGTATCAAAGTGTTTTGTATTTTCATTTCGAACTTACACACAGAAAAAAGCTAGACTGTTATTGTTATGATTTAAATGGCGCAATGCAGGACTGAACTCTCGGTGTTTTGCTGTTGTTTATATGTTGTTGTTATTGTTGTTGATGTTATTGTTGTTGTTGCTGTTCTTGTTTTGTTGTTATTGTTAATGTTTTTGTTATTTTGTTGTTGTTATCGTTGTTTTTGTTTATATTCTTGTTGACATTGCTGTTGTTGTTGTTGTTTTGGAGATGATGATCTTGTTGTTGTTGTTATTGGCTTTTTGGTTTTGTTGTTGTTTTGTTGCTGTTATTGCTGCTGTTGTTGTTGACGTTATGGTTGTTATTGTAATTGTTTTTGTTGTTGTCGTTGGTAGTGTTTTTTGTCACATCTAACTCCTTGTACTGATTATACGAGTTTCGCTTTTGAGGCGTAGATAATGAGAGACAGGAATAAGAGAGGGGAAGAAAGAGATAAGAGAGGATGAAGGGAAAAGGAAGGATGGAAGAAGGGAAGAAGAAAGGAGGGGGAAGAGGATGGAGAGAGGAAGGAAGAAGGGTAGAAAGGGAAGCCGATGAAGGAAGGATGGAAGGTGGGAGGAAGGAAGAGAGAAAAAAGGAGGGGAGAGGAGTAGGAGGAAGAGGAGGGAGGGTTGGCGAGAGAAGAGGAGAAGGGAAGAGGCAGACGAGAGAAGAGGAAGGAGGAGGGAGGAAAGAGAAGTGGAAGAAGGGAAGGGAACAAGGAAAGACGGCATAAAGAAAAAAATAGGAATGCGAGGGAGAAATAAGAAAGATTGAGAAAAGGAAAAGAGGAGAAGAATATTGTTGAAGAATGAGAAGAAATAAAACCGAAAGTAACGAACAAACAAACAAAAAATAGAACTAAACGCAAGAAAAGGAAGGAAAAGACAACAAAAAGGAGAGATACAGAGAAAGAATGAAAAAAAAAAACAGAACAAAAGAACAAAAGAAGGAGAAGAGGAAAACAGAGAAAAAGAAGAGAAGAAAGAGGAAAAGAGAAACAGCATAACCAATACGCATCATTTTTATCATCAACGCAATCGAACCACTGTGACGTCATCGATTTGAATACGAGGACAGAACAATAGATTAAAAAAAAAAACAGACGGACGAAGAAATAAATGAATAAATATGTGGAAAAAAATATAGATGGATAGAACAATAGATAAAAACGATAAATAATCAAACATACGAACGAATAAATGTATAAAGAAATGCGTGAAAAAATAAATGGATAGAACAATAGATAAAAAATGATAAATACTCAAACAGACGAACGAATAAAGGAATAAAGAAATGTGTGAATAAACAGGTAAACAGATAAACAACTGAATAAAGAAATGTGTGAATAAACAGGTAAACAGATAGACAAATGAATAAATAAATAGATGAATAAACAAAAAATAATGATTGCATGAATAGATAAATAAGTAAATAAATGAATGGATAAGTAAACAGATAAACAAACAAACAGGAAAACTAGCAAACAAAACAAACAGGAAAACTAGCAAACAAAACAAACAGGAAAGCAAGCAAATAAACAAACAGGGAAACAAGCAAGCAAGAAAACAAAGAAATATGAAAACAAGCAAACAAACAGGAAAACAAGCAAATAAACAAGAAAGCAAACAACTATGAAAACAAGCAAACAAACAGGAAAACAGGCAAACAAAAAACAGGAAAATAGCTAAACAGA